AGTATTCTTCCTATAATAAGTTCCACTTCAAAGGATTTCTCATTCAACGGTGACTGCTTCGCACTTTTATTAAGTCCGGGCTTTTTCACTTGGCGGAATCATCTGTTTGGTTATTTTTCATCGTGTTTATTTTTCACCATTCACACAGTACTTGTATTAAATAAACAAAGAACAATCGCTCTGCAAATAAAAGTGCTTAGGTGGGGGGAAAAAAGAAGGAGGGAGGCAGCGGAGGAGGAGAAGAGCTGGAGATGGAGCTTCTTCCTCGCTTATTTTTTTATCTGCTGAAGTTGGGGATGGGGGGGGTGTCCTGAAAAAGGGAAGGGGGGTTGGGAGAGAGGCCAAAAAATATGAGACGTTCTGATGAAGTGAAAATTGACTGCGCTAACACGGCATGAAACTAAAGGTCAATGCAACTGTATCTTAATAGAGTGTCTCGAATCGAGGTGGACTATTTTAAATGCAGCTTGCTTTTGCTGCGCTCATTGCCATAGCAATCCTAACGCTCCATGTTGATGTACCATAAAAGCAGTAGTTTGAATTTCAAAGAACCTGCCTTTGAACTTCTCTCTGCCTGATTAGGCGCTTGCGTGGGGTGTGTGTGTGAACCGCGGGAGCGGGGTTTGGGTGCCGGCGGGCGCGGGGCGCAGCACCCCGCGTGTCCGTGTCTGTGGCTGTGTGTCCGAGTGAGAGTACGAGTGTGCGTGTGCCAGCACAATCTCTGACACCTCCTGGTCTGCTCTACCACCGGGAAGTGGGGGGTGACAGTCCATCCTTCCCAGCGCCTCACAACTCCTCCAGCAGCACGAAACACGGACCAACAACCCACCCTCCTAAAAAAAATCCCTGAGTGTCCCTCACCACCCCCAAAAAGCAAAGCAACAACTTTCCCCGGGTGGGGGACTCCCGTGTGAGCCCAGCATTTCATGCCCATGGTGGGTGTGTTGAGGGGGAGCAGCCCTGTGGGTCCCCTATTTATTTCCCACCCCCACCCCCCGATGCCATTTCCCACACTACCTAGATTTTTTCTCCCCTTCAAAACTTCGCTAGCTCGGCTCCAGTCTTTAAAGGGCAGAGGGGCAGAGATGGTGTGTGGCGAGATGTCTCCCAGCCCCAACTACAAAGGTAGATGATTTAAACAGTGTTTGCTAGGACCACGTTTCGCCTAGGAAAAGATGAAGTCTTTGATGATGGCCAACTCGGTGTCAATAAGTGGTTTTCTTTGAGCCATATTCAGATGGGAACGTCTTGCTTTGCCAATTGCCATAGAAATCCTAACACACCATGAAGATTGTCCAAGCGCCAAGCCTTCCGTTCTGGGCTAAATTACTTTGAAGTGGGGCAGGACGTGCACTGGTCAATGTTAACTCTATAGGGCGGGCAGGGAACACTAGGAGAGAGGGGCTGGGGAGGGGGAGAGCCCAAAATAAGAAGGGGAAACTTGTTTTAGACACTCTATACAAGGTTCTGCTCATTGTCAGATATCTTTTATCTTTTATATTTCCCATGAATGATTCATGTCTCGGTGGCTTTGTGTCGCCCTCCTTTTCACAAGAAACTTCATTAGAGAGCTATAAGTTTTCCCATTGATTGGAGCCCTCATTTATGAGTGTTTTTCTGCTTCGTATGTTGGTTATTGTCATTCTGCTTGAAACAACTCTTTGCAACCTGTTTCACCTTTACCACATTTAACAAAACTGACTTAAAAAACACTCTAACCTTTTGGTGAAACTGTTCTTGACATTTGGACCAGTCATTTTCGAGCACTGGTATAATAGGGGGGTGGGGAGGAAGGGATATCATCCCGGGCTACTTGTATTTATTTTATTAAAATATAATTTTTAAGGAATGAAATAACCCTGACGATCCTGGAGGATGCTGACACACGACTCTGCCCAGATTTTTTTCCCAACAGCGGGTTTCACTCAGTTTTCCTCTCTCGAAAGAGAAATACGTGTCCTCCTGAAAACTTTTATTTTTCCTTCCCCCCCCCCCCCCCCCTTCCGGTGATCTCCTGGCGTTATTTGTCGGCTGACCTGACTCTGTATTTCAGAATAATCACCTGTCATACGGGTTTGCCACTATGGCTTTTACTGCAGAGTAGTGTTACTCAGATTACTAGGATCCGAAGAGGAGGCTGAGACGAGCATATTTTTTGTTTCTCCAACAGAAATATTATAATTTTAATTGATTTTGTACTTTGGTGAGGTGTCCTTGACAGAAATGAACAATATCGTGTGGATAGAGGATAAATACTTGACTTTTCTCACTTTTCTCCGTGTCTTTATCTATCTATCTATCTATCTATCTATCTATCTATCTATCTATCTATCTATCTATCTATCATATCCGTCTGTCTGTCCTTCTCTCTTTTTCCCCTGGGTATGGAAAGTCAGCAGCATAGCACCCAATTGCTGCATTATGAGGCGGCAGCCCCCCAAATCCTGCCTGTGTGTTCCCACCACAACCACCACCATTATCCCGGCTGACTTCCAGGGACAAGTACCCGCGAGATTACAGCTTGAGGCCGCCGGGGGGAAGCAGGGACGCCTCGGCCCTGAGCATCCTCCTTCTGCGTGGCTCCAAACAGAAACGTAAATCCGAAGAAGAACCTTATTTACTCACACGTTTCGATGGGGAAAAAAAAAAAAATCCAGGGTATCTCAGCCGCCCCCCAAATCTCCCAGTGCTGCTCTCGCCCTGAGAGGCTGTGGCTGGATCTGACTCTAGCTACTGACCCCGGGGGGGGGGGGGGGGGGGGGAGTCTTTTGGTCTGCTTCTGCCCCTCGTCTGTCAGTAAGGCACATGCAATACGTAGAAATAATATTTTTTATTAATTTGCATGATTTTCTTTCTTTTTTTCTTTTCTTTTTTACTTCTGATGGGTTTTACAGAGATGAAAAGGTAAATTCGTATTATTTTATTTCGGAGGTATCATGTGTCATAAAATGGACGGACAAGTGTGTGACCCTGCGTGTAGCAAGTACATAAAAATAGTGGCATATCCCCTCGAGCCATAGTTTTTAAACCCTGCCATGTAGTAATGTATAGTGCAATTTGTTGTTGAAAAAAACAAAAAATGCATAAATTAAAAAGTTCGTTTATAAATCAGCACCAAAATATCTCTGGTAAGATTACATTACATAAATTATTCTTTAAAAAGTCCATACCTTACTTTATTATTTTTCTATTTATTCAAATGAGCTTGGAAAAAAAAACGAATAAAAAGCAAATCGAACGAACTTTAAAAAATTATTTTCTATTCAAGTTTCCTGTTTGTTTTCAAAGTAACGCCTGTGTTTCGATCCAACACAACAATATGAAGACAACGTTTAAAAGCTTCCAGAGTGACAGCACCATGCACTGTACTAATAATATAATACCTCTATGAGCTATATATATATACACCAGCACCAACACACCGCACGGAGGACATGCAGGAAGAACCTGTTTCACATTACATCGTTCATTCAAGTAAGGTGAAAAATATAATGCTTTTTTTCTTTTTTTTTCCTTTTTTTATACAAACCACAGCATCATCAACAACCAGCTACCGCCAAAATTAGGGAGAGAATTCTTTGGTGTGCTCTGTACTCTTCCAGGAAAAGAAAAGGGGGGGGGGGGGGGAGGAAAAAAAAAGGGATGATGTCAGAAAATAAATTAATTCTACTATACAAAATAATCGCGTTCACATACACGTTATTAACAATGACAAGACGACATCCACCATTCACGGCACACAAGCCACATTTCCACATGCCCGGGGGGATGGGGGGGGAAGGCTGCCGTTGCTCCTCTCGGGGTCTCTGAGGAGGAATTAGCACTCTTTAGGTTATTTGCCCCCCTCTCCTGATGGACGGGCGATGGGTGTAGGTGTCCCTAACCTCCCTAGCTCCCGCCCCACACCCCTCGGCCTCTGGGATGGGCGCTAGGGGCTGAGGTTTAGGGGGGTGAAGGGCACCCTGACCCCCCCAGCCTTCTCCCCCCTCCCCGTTTCTTCCCCGCAGCTCCGGTCCCCTCCTCTCAGGTGATTCCACCCGGCCACCGCAGGGAGATAGTGAAAAGGATAGAGAGAGGAAACAAACCTAAAATATATAGTTACATATAAAATAACAATTAAAAACTCATACCCTATCCCAGCGCCCCCCCTCCCCTCGCCGGGCCTGGAGGGGGGGGGGTGTCTCCCCCTCCCAACCCCAAACTGACTGCACAGGAGGCTGGAGGGAGCAAGAGGCAAAATCTTCCTCTGCGAGTCGAACTTTAATATATTAATATTAATAATAACCACAGTAATAAGAATACCAACCCCAGGAAAAGGGGAATTAGCTGTCAGTTTCTGCATGTTTGGTTGGGTTTTTTTTAGGAAAACCCTAAAATGTATCACAACATCGCAGTTGTCAAATAGCAGCGGTTTTCTTTCATTCTCCGGCTCCGTTTTAGGAGCCCTACACGTACAAACCGTGGAGGAGCGGTAAGGGAGTGCTGCATCTTTTGTCTTCCCTTCCCTAAATCGTTTTCATATGGTTACAGCTAAGGGAGAAAGAAAGAAAGAAAGCTGGAGAGAAAGTGCCCAGGTGGGACCCCACGACTCCGGGAGAAGCCAACAATTACAAAGGAGCTGAGCTGCAAGAGGGGCGGGAAAATGGTTTTATTTCATTTTATTTGAAAGGATGTGTAACCTGTCCTCGACTGGCCGGAGCTTCGGCAGGTGCTGCTTTACAGTCTGGAGGCCTCTGCAAACCTGGCACTTTACCCAGGCTGGAGAGGAGACACCGGGGGAGGGGGGTGGCAGCTCCAGGATTTGAAAAGCCGCTGCAGGGAATGGCAGGGCCCTGACTGCCCCTGCTCAATGGTCAAGAGCAGCGCCGCATGGGCAGGGTGGGAGCCAGGCATCTCCTTTGGCACCGTCCCTCTGCGAAGCGTGCGGCTCGGGTTGCTGGGATGGCCCAGCGCGGCGTTATTAACGCTGCTTCTTACCGACAGAAAAAAAAAAGAAAAAATTAAAAACTCCGAGTCTCTTTAATTAAATTAGTTACCGTACAAACACCATAGGGTTTCGTACACGGAATAAATAGCGCGAGTCAAACCTGATGGCGCTTCCACGCCAGCCCTCCCACTCCTTTGCTCCCGGGCAGCTTAGGTCAGTGCAGCAGGGCCGGAGACAACAGCGGCACGGCACGGCTCAGCCCGGCCCTAGGGAGCGGTTCTGCCCCCCGAGGTCCTGTGGGGCTCATCCCCCTCGGAGGTCGGGGAGGTGTCGCGGCTGGAGGGGGTGCGGGGCCGTCGGGGAGCGCCCCCGGCCTGACAGACGTACCACTCACTGAGGTCGGTGACCGGCGGAGAGAGGGCAGCGGTGGGGCCGCGGGGCGGCTCGGCTGCCAGAGAGGCCTCAGGGGGTAGCGGCCCGTCGGGGGGCCCCGCCGCCGCAGCCGTGTAGCCCTGGGAGCCCAGCGGCGGAGAGGGCGAAGGGGACTTGCAGTGGATCTTCATGTGCTTCCTCAAGGAGCTAGGGTGGGTGTAGGACTTGTCGCAGCCGCGGATCTTGCAGTAGTAGGGCTTGTCCGAGGTGTGGACGTGGGAGTGCTTCTTGCGGTCACTGCTGTTAGCGAACTTCCTCTCGCAGCCGTCGAACTCGCACTTGAAGGGCTTCTCCCCTGCCGGGACACAGCAACGGCACCGTTACCCGGGGGGCGGGGGCACGGCCTTGCCCGCAGCCTGTCCGCAGCACCGGCAGCCCCCCCGAGGCGAGCAGCAGGGCAAAGCCTCCCTCCTTCTTCCCCTCTTTTCCCCTTTTCCTCCCCACCTCACGACAGTCGTGACATGCCCGAGACTTCCGACTTTCCCCCCGTGATTCTCAAACCGTGCAACGCGGTTGGCGGTCCCCAAACCGGGAGCCCCGGGCTGGCAGCGGCAGCGGGGCCGGGCCTTGTTTGCCCCGCGCACACGAGGAACCTTCATTACGGCTCTAATGACCGAGCCCAAACAAAACCCCTCAATGCCTTTGCCTCCGAGGGCTGGCGCTTGCCGGCAGCCAGGCTCTCCTGGCACTTCTCCTGAGTAATCCTTTCCCAGTGGGGCACTGTGCTGTGGGAATAATTAGTCGGGGGGGGAGGGGGGGGGGTAGAAATACAAGTAACACCTGTTTAAGAATCCTGGTATAAAAAGGGAATATCCTGGTATAAAGAGGGAGCAAGTATCCTGGTATAAATATGGAGCACCCAGCAGCCCGTACTGGGGACTGGCAGGTTGTGGGGGGACACCAGCCCAAACACCGGTGATGGTTACCTCAGGCTAATTTGTTTCTAAAGAAAATCTCTGTCCGAACTATTTTAAGAGCTTTACACTTTGCTGAAGAGTTAAAGGGGTTGTGAAAATCAGCCCGGGGCGAGTTTACTTGGAGTACCTTTCACACACACACACCTGGCTCCCGACATACCATACCCTGGGACATACATATATATGTTCCGGCACATATAGATATGCCCCGGCGGACCCTTCCCCACAGATCCCATTCCACAGAACAGGGCTGAGTAAATGCTTAGTGCTGAGAGACCAGAGTTAAAAAAATAAACTTGCCGGATCCCTTCACTGCCCATGAAGGAGAGTTTCTTACAGCAACTGTTTCTTCTTCCCCTGCCACGTTACCCATGAACCCGGAGTAAACAGACCTGCATCGATAACCCCTGCCACGACTATTGCGACTCTTGAGTCAAAAAATGCTGTCTGGTTAGGCATGGCCGATGGGTATTTTCAGGTCTGTTTTGCTGTGAGCACTCGGAAATAACAACCCTGCAGGTCTCTCGGTGGATATTTTCTTATTTTTCACCAGGCGATTTTTACTGCTCCTTCCATTTGTAAAATCGTATCATGTTTAGCAAGAGAATAACGGGAAAATAAAACGATTTTTACGCTTTAAAAGTACCTATTTCTTGGCTGTTACCATAACAACATGTGCCTCCGCAGCTGACTTATACGTCAACTTTTTCAATTAAAATCCGCTCACCTACCAGCGAAGTGAGACCAATTGAAAGAGCAAGTTTACCTTTAATATATATATATGTAAAAAGATGGTAAGAAAATGTATCTCGTGGGGTTTAACTGGATTTTCCACAAGCATGCTCCCACTCCAACCGAGACAAATCTCGAGTCACTTCGTTTGTTCATTAATCATTGTTTTTCCTGGAGAAATAAAGCGAATCTGCTGGATTCTGCCCGTATTACCGCAGAGATTCAGGCTTACCCGTCCCCAAGCTTAACTTCCCCTGAGGGATGCTCCTACCCGCCCAAACTGCCTCCCCCTCCTCTGTCGAGGCTTTAGGAAGTGCCTTCCCCCCACTCGTGGAGACCCACCCGAGGGCTGCGCACCCGTCGAGGGAACGAAGGAGGGAGGCAGGACCCGGGGTACCGCTCTCTCTCGGGACCCTCGAGGGATGCGTAACCCCCGGGTAGCTCCTCCTCGCCAGCCTCCGGATAGCGACGATCCAATTCCACATAAATCCAGGAGCGGAGAAGATGCCGGAGTGTCCCTGGCATGCTGACGAGGGCGTCACGTCAGAGTTTAACCGTTTGTAGGTGGTTTCAACCCAAGAAAGAGGTTGAGAGGCCGGGAGCCGTCCCCTGACTCCTCCCGGCAGCAGCGGTGCCAGCGGCGGGGGCGTGGGAGGGAGGGCACCGAAAGGCTTTGGGGTCACTTTTGTCGGGGGGAAGGGATGATGTCTTTGTGGGGGAAGTCTGGCGATCCTGAGCACCTTCTCAGCGAGGGAGTAGCGATTTTGCAGGAGAAGGGGGGTCCCATTCCCTTTAGCATGCACCGGGAGCGGGGACAGCGTTTTGTTCCCAGAATAGGGACAGGGCTGCAGGGCGCGGTGTGATTCTTTTGAGGAAAAGAAGGGAAAAAAACACAAGCGAGCAAATGCCTCCTGAATTACTGACATGCTCTTCTTCCTGCAGGATTACTAGAAACACGCAAAATCCCCTAATAATACAATAACGGTGTTATCATTTCCCCCTCTCCATACAAAAATGCCCATAATAAACCAATAGTTTGTAAATCTCTTTTGCTCCCAGACTGAACATGACTAAATTAAAGCTGAGGCGGCAAAATTACAGTAATTAATCCAATCGGGACTGGCAGAGGGGTTGGGATCCCCCTTCCACCCAACGGCTGGCTTCCTGGGGAAGGAGTCACGTCCCATTCGCCTTCCCGTGGGTCGTGTCATTCGAGGCGCGCTCTCGCCACCCACCCGGAGGGCTGCTTTGTTGCAACTGCCCTTTCTGCATGGAAATAGTCCCCCCAATCCTTGGACTCAGGCGCGGGCACCCTCCCGGGGTCTGAGAACGCGTCTCAGAAAGGGGAACCCCTCTCCTCCAGCCCTTCAAGAGGTACACAGCATCCGACTAGCTGCGGGTGCCCCCCGACTGCAAACTTCTCCAAATTTCCATTGCAAGAGGCCATGTCCCACAAAGGGCCTCGGGGCAATACTGGACCACAGCTCCGAGGTGCATATTTAGGTTATCTGTGGGAGGAGTGTCCTTTTCCCGCTGAAGACCTCTGCCCCCACCCCAAGCATTCCCCGAACGCCCACCCCCCTTGGAGCTGGGATGGAGAAGCAGTTGAGAAGCCCAGAAAGGTCCTCAGTGAAGTTTTGTTTTCCAAACTAAAAGAGATGGGAAAGGCAGGATGACAAAAACACGGGCCTCCACCGTTTAACTCGTTCCCCAGTGCCATTAACGCAACAACAACCACCCCCCAAAAAATATGTCAGACCCCCGCAGGAGAAATCCCCATATCCCTCTCCCACCCCCCACTCCCCCACCCGGCTTTGGGAGTAGGGAGCTGGGCATCCTCAGGTCTCCGCAGCTGTATATGGGTTCATGCCTGACATATTCTGGAGATAAAAATCTATAATCCTTTCCGCCATGGACCATTTGGTTTTACATCGGAATAACACGTTGCACGGTCACCGCTTTTCTCTTCCCGAGCAGCACACAATAAATCAAGAAAGCAATTACGGCAACTCCACTTCCTTAAGTGTCCTCCGAGGAATAATATTTGTCTACCACTATAAATCCCGGCTTCGTTCGTTTTCGGCGGAATTTTTTTTCTTTACACCCACACCGAAATGCGTATTTCGGGGATGGGGAGGAAGGAGAAGAGAGGGAAGGAGAAAGGAAATATATATATATAAAAGAATAAATAAAAAAGGAAAAAGAAATAGAAGACTTATATGCTCAAACACACGCGGAGCCCCGCGCCGGGTCCCCCTGTCCTCCTGCGCATTCCCCTGGGGTGCCGCTCCCTTCTCCCCGGCCCCCGGCGCCCCGTTGGGTACCCGAACTGCTTTGAAGTTTCCTCCTCAGACCCAAAAAGAGAAGGAAACGTTCCCCCGTCTCCACGGGCGGTAGAGCCCGGGCACCAGCGGCAGTTTCAGGAGCGGAATCAGTACCGGTATCACCGGCGGCACGGGCAGCCCCCTTAGCGCCGGCTGTCCCAGTAGCAACGACCGGCAGCGTCGGTATTCCCGGCAGCATCGGTAGTTCCCGTAGGGGCAGCCCCAGCAGCACTGGTCGTAGAGCAGCCCCCGTAGCGGAGGTAGCGCGGTAGCCCCGATAGTATCGGTAGCCCCGAGCGCCGCCGCCGCCGCCCGCAGCTCAAGGGAACTGCGCCCCCAAGAGCCCCCGGCCCCATCTCCTCCGGGCCAAGCGTTATCCCGACCGGCTCCATCCCCAACGACAGAACCGGCAGGAAAAGCAGAACTGTGGTCCTTCGGGAAGTGGGGAGGAGGTCGCAACACATCCCCTCGCCCCGAGTGCCTCGGGCAGGGGCGAGCGGGCGCTTATCCTCTCCTCACTCTTCCCCAAGGGATGCTGTTCGTCTTCCCCCGGCTCCGCGTTATTTCTTATTCGGGGCATTTATTTACCCGGTGGTGCCAGGATGTGAGGAGGTGGGGGGCGGAGGGACCTGCCCAAAGTGCGGGGGGGGGGGGGGGGGGATGATGATAGAAGGGGGGACAGGGACACACACGTGTGTGTACAGGGCAGAGGGGCCGGGTGCGTGTGCGTGGCCCGTGTGCTGCCGAATTACTTATTCATGAAAAAGTCACATGTCCGTCGGTGCGCAGGAGAGGAGGAAAAGAGGAGGAAAGGGGGAAAAAAATGAAAAAGGAAGAAAACCCTTACATGGACGGCTGGGAGGGGGGAAGGCACCCACCTGTATGAGTCCGCTTGTGGATCTTGAGGTTTTCGGAGCGGGCGAAGACCTTCCCGCAGCCGGGGAAGGGGCAGGGAAAGGGTTTCTCTCCCGTGTGCACTCGGATGTGGTTGATGAGTTTGTATTTCGCTTTGAAGGGTTTGCCTTCCCGGGGACACTCCTCCCAGTAGCACACGTGGCTGCTCTGCTCGGGCCCGCCGACGTGCTCCACGGTGACATGGCTCACCAGCTCCTGCATCGTGCTGAAAGTTTTGGAGCAAGGTTTCCTACCGCCCGGTGGCGGCGGCGGAGGAGGAGGCGGAGGAGGCGGCTCCCGGTCGATCCACTTGCAGATCAGCTCTTGCTTGATGGGCTGCCGCATGTACCGCAGGAAGGCCCCTGCCGCTGCCGCAGCCGCCGCCGCCCCGACGTGGGCATGGTGATGGTGGTGATGATGATGGTGGTGATGGTGGTGTGGATGGGGGTGGTGCGGGTGCCCGTGCCCGGCCGCCGCCGCTGCCGCCAGGTTGAGGTTGACGGAGCCGTAACCTTGCAGCGCCGAGGAGGAAGCGGCGGCAGCCCCGTAGTGAGCCTCGGCGCGCCCGTAGAGCTCTCCGGCTGCGGCTGCCAGCCCCAGCCGCATCTGCCCGTTGAGAGGCGGGTGGCGGCCGGTAGGCGCGCCCTGCTCGCCGGGCGCCGGCGGGAAAGCGGCGTGCGCCCCGTCGGCCGCGCCGTAGGTGCCGGCTGCCGAGATGAAGACGCCGTGGGGAGGCGCGTGCGGGAGGTGGGGGGAGCCGGCGGGAGGGTGCTGCTCGCCCAGCGCCCCGTGCACCGCGGCGGCAGCAGCGGCAGCGGGCAGCTCCCGCCGCAAGATGAAGTCCCGGCCTGCCGCCCCCCCCGCCGGGTAGCCCTGGAGGGTAGTGGCGGGCGGCGCGTAAGCGGCGGCGGCGGTGGTGGCGGCGGCAGCGGTGGCGGCGGCGGTGGCGGTGGTGGCGGCGGGCGCAGCGAAAGCGGCGGCGGCGGCGGTGAGCGCCTCGGGAGTGAGCTTGAGGGCGGCCGGCTGCGCCATGTGCTCAGGTCCGAGCGGCGTGAGGGCACCGCCGGGGTCGCCGCCTGCGTCCCCGGGGTGGAGGTGGGCCGCGTGGTGGGGGTGGACGTGGTGGTTCCCCAGCCCCGGGAAGCCTGTCATGTTCTGTTGAGGATGGGGCTGAGCCGCTGCCAAATCTGCTAATCTCAGGGTCGGGTTCCTCTTGCTCAAAGGGGGCTCCATAACGACACAGCCAAGCCCATCTACGCTGGCTGTTGTTATTTTTTTCCCTCTACCCGCCTTCAAAAACATGTATATATTAAGCGGCTCTTTAACTTCTTTTGTCTGCGCTCCTAACTCCGCGCATCCCGGCCCCGCTCTGCCCGCCCGCGATTGGCAGAGCCCTCACCACACTCCGGCGGCGCGCTGGGAACGACGGCTCGGACACGGCACCGGAGGGATTGGACAGATCGCGATGATTGGCAGCGGATGGGGCCGCGCCATTGGCTCCCTTTCAGGCCGCCGGCGCAGCGGGGATCCGCCTCCACCGCCCCCCCACTGTCCCGTCGTGTCCGTGTCCCCCCTGCCTCGAAGTAGCACTTGCAAAACTTCGCGCGGGGCCCGACGGGGCGCACAACCCACACACCCCACACACCCCCCTCCGCCGACAGCGGGCAGCGCGAGTAGCAGCGGGCAGCAGCTGCCGCTCCCCCGGAGCTAGACGGGGCGCCCTGAGCTGCTGTGTTGACGTTTGACTGCCCGCGGGATTTTCTCTGCTCGCCTGGGGGCTGCTGCCGGGCTCTGCCGTCGGTTCCCCTCTCTTTTCTCTTACATTTGGAGGGCCATAATCATTCATTCATCGGCGAGGCGGGAAAGCACACGCAGCACCCCGCACCCACACGAGACCGTGTGTGCTCATGCCCAAGGCGGACGATTGAAAGCAATACCAGGGGAAGGCAGGCAACGTTTTCCTAAAAAGAAGGCGAAAGCGGCGGAGGAGGGTTGGGATGCCTTTCCTTTAAAAAATAGACGAGTAAGCAGTAGTGGAAGCGGGGGCGGGGGGGAAGCAGCCCATGTTGGGGAGAAGTTTTGGGAGACCGCTCTCGCTGCCTCCCTGGGGCTTCCTCCTCCCAAGGATCCCCACAGCCCCCTCCCAGGGTGCCCCGTCGGGGGGCGGCGAGCCGTACCCCCCGCAGCTGCCTCCATCTGAGCCCGAATTCAGCGAGGGCAATCCAGGGATAAAAGCGCACCGGAGCATCCACGCCCCTCAAGGGTTTGGGATGCCGTGGGGAGCGGTGGGTTAGGAAATGGGGAGTCTCCGGAAGGCGGGTGTCTGCCAGGAGCTGTTGCCTTCTGCGAAAAGGCAGGAGAAATATGATTCTCCTAAAGAGAGCAGAGGTGGGGGGATGGGCCAGACCGGAGGAACGATGGGAGAGACCCTGGGGTGTGGGGTGTATTGGTCCTCGAAGGTGCAGGGCCAAACCGGCCCCTTCCGCACAAAGGAGGATGCTGCCGTTTGGGGGTGCCGAAAAGGCGGGGCCAGGGATTTCCCTGCCCAGCCAAAAGGGCTGGAAAAGCATTGCCGCGAGTTCTCTCTGGGGCTGCTGGAGATGTGGCCCTTACTGATATGTCATCCACTTTTCTGAGGCTGCTGGTCCTACCGGGAGTGCCTGGCGCTCCCGCGCTCTTGGGAGAGAATTCCAAGGACTTCTGCGGGGCAAGGAGGGGGACGCTCCTCTGCCAAGCCAGGAGAGGAAACGGGGCGGGGGGTGCCGGAGGACACCTCCATCCCCAAACACACATCCCCCTCCCGGTCCTCCCCACCCAGTGAATCTCCCTTGCCCAAACTACATCTGTGCCTCCCCGCTGCTACCCTTTGCAGAGCCCCGTTCAAAGGAAGCTCCGTGACGGTCCGGCATTTCCTGGGCCAGACTCCAGCCCCCCCTCCTCCCTCCCGCCGCCACTCACGGAGGAGAAACTCGCAGGATTTAGCCCACAGCTGCCAAAAGAGGAAGAGTGCTGGGGGCAAGAGCTGTAGAGCAGGAGGCGCCCCAGAGGTCCCCCTCTCTAAAACCAAGTCCCGGGGGTGTCTCCCACCCCCGGCGCCGAACCAGTGCCTTGATGGGAGTTTCAGTGATGCTGCAAGGCAAGAATCGAGAATAAATAATTCCCAGGTTTTAAAAGGAGCTGCTCCATGGTTTTATGGAACTGTAAAAACTTCCCCTCGCAAACTAGCCGTAAGTCTATGCGGGTATTCCTATACGTCTATTTTCTAAACGTGCATCCAAACAGGATTCCAAATTCTCCCCAGATTCTGGGCACCGAGGTCCCGAGATACGATGGTTTGATGGGAGATGCTGTGGAGGTGAAGAGCAGCGTCGCGCCCCGCGGACCCTTGCGCATGCCTCGACGTCCCGCTCTTGTTAAACGCAGCGTGATATGTATCTGTCATCGATTTAATATGTCTTAATTCAAATATATCCCCCCAATCAATTTCTTTTTATGAGGGGCTATAAAACAAAGAAAATATTTTATAGCTGGGTAATAAGCAGCTGACCTGTGGGGAGGAAGGGCTTGGCCGAGGCTAACGTGGAAAATCTCCCATTTTTAGGACTCTCTGAAAAAGCGTCCTGCCTCCTGAAGCCGCCTGCCCTAGCCGAGTGGATTTTGGATAGTACTAGCTCCAAAAGGGCCATGAAAAATTTACAACCCATTAACTCACAGATCCCAGCTCAGGCCAAGGCTGCCGCAGTGGTGGGGGGCTGCAGAGGAAGGAGGCCGCTGGTACCCCCCTCCCAGCCCCCCAAACCCCCGGCAGCGCCCTTCGGCGGTCGGCGCGGTGCCCTGCTCCGGCGGCGGAACCGGCTGCGAAGCCCTCCCACCGTGCCCCTCTCAGCGGCAAACCGGCCAAGGGACATCGGGGGAGGCTGGAGAGGCGGGATGAAAGCCTTGAAAAACTCGAATACATTTCGTAAAGATTCCTCCATAAACAGAGCTCGGGACATCGGTTTTAGCGCGGGAGGGGTGGGGGGTGGGGAGAGAGATAGCTGTAAAACTCCGCGCTATAATCTGTATTATGTAAATGTATGCTAATGAGCATGAGTACCATTTACAAACAATCCTCTTTAATGCACGTCTTATTGATAGTTAGGGAGCGGAGAGCAATATTTTATAACTGTGAAACCTTCTTCTAGGGAACCTTTGGGAAGTGAGCGCGATCGCCGCTTTTCTCGTCAAGACATCGAGATCTATTTCCACAAATTCTGTCAAAATAGCTTGCCACCCACCTGACCCTTCGCGGGGAGTAACCCCGGTACCACCTCACTGTCCCGTCGGGATGTAGCAAGGAGTCACCGGGCCCGCGGGCGGGAGAGGGGGTCGTGAGTGCCCATGAACAAGGAAGGGAGAAAGTGGGGCCATTTGGCAGCAAGGCTCCCCCTCTCTCCTTTTTGGAGGGAATGACGGAGGGTATAAGATATTTATACCCTTAAAAATAAACTCCTATTCCGGCCAATAAACCCCCTGTTTTCCTCTCCCCATGCACTCCAGTGGGAGCCCAAGGGCAGGGATACGGTCCCGGGAGGGTGCCGGCGCTGTGCCCTCCGTCGGGGTTGCCGCGGCCGTCGGAGCTGCCGGGGCTGGGACCGCCGTCCGTTTTGGGAAGGGGATTTACGGGCAGAAGGTTCGGAGCTGCCGCTTTGGGTGTGCGCCTCTGTAGGGTAAGCAGGGTCCGTTCCCGCACATCCCCTTCTGGGATTTGCTCAAATAGGGATAAAATAAAGATTAAAAAATCCCCATCCTTCAGTCCCTCTGTGTATATATATATATACACACATTTCGCATACAGAGAGAGAAAGAGAGAGGCGGCCTCGGTAAACCCAGGCCAAATTTTATTCTGCGCTCCTTCTCCACACACCTCCCTCTCCCCACCGCCCCCCCTTCCCCTCTCCCCGCAGCTGAACGTCACCGTTGGAAGAAGCTGTTGAGATAAATCAAATAGTGACACTTTGACGGCTTTACTTGTATAAGCAATATGGTTACCATATGGCATTGTTATTTATGAATGACAGCAGAAATTGTATTACAAAGTCCATCGCGCTTTATTGGGACGCTTCTCCTCTGCCTCAAACCTTTGTGGGCATCCCGAAAGATCCATCTAATAAATCTCAGCAGCGCTGCAGCAAACCCCCATTTCTGAGGGGTGTTACGCCAGCTGCGAAGGGAGGCGGCAGCGGGACAGGGCGCAGGGCGCGCAAAGTGCGCGGCGTTGCGCGTTTCTTCCATCGCAGCTGGGCTAGGCAGGGACACTGGCTGCCGCTCGGCAGAGGAAAATCCCGTCCTGGAAATCTTCACCGCACTGCAACTTCAGCCGCCTCCGCCTCATGGCACAGCCGCCGTGAGTGGAGTTTTATACCGCAACTTCTACTTATATATATATATAAATATATAAGTGCAACTGAGAGAATAATAAACATTAATGGCACCAAAGAGAGGTGCTGCTTTCTGATGCATCCCACTCCCTGCCTGGAGGTTTAAAAAGGGGGGGGGGAGGCATTTAAAAGTTATAGCTTTGGCTGAGATTTTCATTATTCCCCCCCCGGTTTTTTTTTTTTTTTCTTTTACATTACGCTGCCGGTAGAGTCTGACAAAGAACTTTTGTCCCAAAGTGTGTTTTACAGAGGGAGGCTACAGCGCAACACATGTGGTCTTCACGGGTCATAGGTCGAACGGCCTAGAAGTGGCTCAGACCGGCATCATCAAAGGTAACCTGCAATTTAATATCCTGTTGATGAGCTTGTTGAATTTATGAGTGTCTGTGACACAGACAACGGTGCAAAGCCATGCTGCTCAGCTGGCCTCTCCTTCCCAGGCTACAGGCCGTCTTCATGCCCCCTGCCCCGCACCTCCTTCTGTTACTCCGGGGAGAAGTGAAGCTTGAATCTGGAGGGGGAAAGACCCCCTCTTCCCCACAACCCAACCGCTGGTCGGCCTTTCCACCTTGGTTTTCCCGGCAAGACTGCCTCCAGCCGCCTCATCCAGCGGACAGAGTCTCTGCTGCTCAGGGTGAAGGAAGGAGGAAGGCAGAGGGGGATGGAGAGAGAGAGTGAAGGAAGGAGGGAAGAAGGGATGGAGGGAGTGCGGAGCAGTCCCCTCAACAACCCTGGCCTGGCGGTGACAACCCCTGGGGACAGGAGGTGGAAGGCGAGGGAGTTATATGCTGTCCAGGGGAAGGAAGAAATTGCTCTCGCTGGTCCCTCCAGCCCCTCCAGCTCCCTCCTTATCAGCAGTGGCAAGAATAAGAGCAGAGCAGTTTTAAAGAAAATTTCGGCACACTTACAGACAGGGGAGATCCTTTCCCGGGAAAGGCTGACAGTTACCCTGCGGGTCTGGCACCTCCAGAAAGCTGTTCAAAAGCTAGTTTCAGTAAACCCGCGTAGCACCAACACTGGGTGACCGCTTGCTTCCCTCCCTCAGTAGCTGTCGTGAGGCGAAAGCTGTATTTCTGGCAGGGGCCCGGAAAGTGAGAGCGGTCTGGCTGCTGGGGCCCCTGCCCATTTCCCCCCGTCCTCCCCTTCCTCCCTTACCCCCTGCCCGTGTTACCCTGCGACACCGGGGAAAAGGGGCTTGCGGTTCTGAGCGAAATAATGCACTTCTTAGGAGGGACGGCAACGTGACTTTGAACTTGGATCAGTTCCTCTGTTTCCTGCACAGAGAGCAGGGCTGGAGTCCTGAAAGAATAGCAGAGTGCGACCAGCCCGCGGGGGCTCCCGCTGGAATTCAGCGTCCACCCGTCCCTCCAGCCGTCCGTACGTCTGTCCATCCATTCACCCATGCATCCCCCAAAGAGGTGGCCCCGAGTGGGCAGAGCGCAGGGGGCAGGAAAAGCAGGAAAGGAAAGAGAAAAAGGAATAAAAAGAGAAAAGAAAAAAAAATAAGAGAAAAGGGAATTAAAAAAGAAAGGGAACAAGAGAAGGAGAGGAGAGAAAGAGAGGAAAAGGGAAGGAAGGAAGGAAGGAAGGAAGGAAGGAAGGAAGGAAGGAAGGAAGGAAGGAAGGAAGGAAGGAAGGAAGGAAGGAAGGAAGGAAGGATCCAGAAGGTAGGTATTTGTGTGATCATTCACCTTTTTTTATTCTTTCTTTCTGTTTGGGGTTTCTGGTTTGTGTTGTTATTTTGGGGTTGGGGTTTGTGTGTTTTTGTTGGTGTTTTGTTGTTTTTGTTTTTTTTTTTTTCCAAAATAATGTTTATAACTGGGATTTTTCATGGACACCTCGGTTCTTTTTCTAATCTCTGATGTAGCAACTTATTTCACGTGTTTTTTTGTTGGTTTTTTTTTTTTTTTTGGGGGGGGGGGGGGGGGGGGCGGTGCGGGGAAAGCGTATCCAAGGCTCTAGTTGGCCGTATGTTTTTTTCACTAAACTGGAGGCAGACGATGCAGGAGCTCCATCTTCCCGCTCCAGCTTGGGCTCTCGAAATCCTCACAGCGTTGGAGGACACGTCTCAGACCTCTGACTCGGCAATCTCTCAGAGAATGAAAAGAGTTTTGCTTGCGGTCTGTCCCTGGGAGCCTGGGGGGTCAGGACAAGGACAGCATATGCTCCCAAGCTGCAGCCTGGGAAGGCTATATCTGGGAAGCAGAACACTCCTGCCCGCAGAGACAGGACGGAGTGACGGCGTGGTGGAGAGGAGAGGGCTTCTGGCAGCAGAGGTGAATCTGCACTGAGATTCAATTTATCTTCTAATGTCTATTTCAGATTAGAAGGAATCCCATTTCTCCCCAAATTAAATCCTTGTCTTGTTCAAAGAATAATGTCCGGTACTGGCACTTTCGACAGGCTTGGAAATCGTTTAACTATTTAGTGACACTGATGAAGAAAACCTTATTTCAACAAACTTTCTCTCTCCCTTTCTCTCTCTCTCTCCTTCCCTCTCCTTTTATTTCCTTCCTTCCTTCCTCCCTCCCTCCCTTCCTTCCTTCCCTCCCTCCTTTCCTTCCTTCCTTCCTTTCCTTCCTTCCTTCCTTCCTTCCTTCCTTCCTTCCTTCCTTCCTTCCTTCCTTCCTTCCTTCCTTCCTTCCTTCCTTCCTTCCTTCCTTCCTTCCTTCCTTCCTTCCTTCCTTCCTTCCTTCCTTCCTTCCTTCCTTCCTTCCCTCTGTCTTCCTTCCTTCCTTTCCTCTTTCTCTCTCTATTTATATCTATCTATCTTTATATCTATCTCTTTCTACATCTACTTCTATCTACATCTACCTCTATCTACGTCTTTCTCTCTCCATCCATCCATCCATCCATCCATCCATCCATCCATCCATCCATCCATCCCATTGCTCGACTCTAGGTCCAGGTTTGACAAAGCATTTAACGACGTGAGGAGCCACAAGAGGAATGTCACGTCGCAGGGAGAATTTCCGACAGCTCCCCCCCACCCCGCCCCAACCCCCTGTATTTTGGGGTTGTCCCTCAGCACGCCCGGGGCCGATGGCGAACGAGACGCCAGGTTAAGTGCAGGACGGTTGAGACGACAACTGTTATGTCGGGGTTTAATTTTGACAAAGCCTTATTTATGGGCGAGCTGCTGGCCCCGAGATGATTATTTTTCAGGCACTACAAAACAAACCGGAGCAGCGGCCAGACATGTATTTACTGGAGGGGGAGGGGAAGGGGACTTGTTTGCTCTGTGTGTGTGTGCTGGCTGCATGCTTTTTTATTCCTGCCATGTAAGAATCCGGTTTCCAAATAACAATGGCAGGGAGGGTTTTGGGGTTGGGTTTTTATTTTTTTTTTCTTTTCTTCCTGGGTTGTTTTTGTTTCTTTTTCAAGAGACAAGGAAAACTCCTGAAGCATCTGCTCTCGGGTGCACACTCACAAGACACACACATCGAGTCCTCTGCTCCAGCACAAGTGGTTTAAAAGCTCCCCCCAAAACCCCTTTCCTCTATTTTAATTTTCGTTTTATTTATTTATTTGCATTTTCTCCCAGCTGCGGTGACTTGAATTTGATTCTCCTCTCGCTCCCTTTATCGATCACGGGCTTCATCTGCTTTAGCCGAAAAGGGGGAAGGGGCTGCAGGATGCGCGAGTTCATCCCTCCTTCTGCCACAACCTTAAAAAAAAAAAAAAAAAAAAAAAGAAGAAAAAAAAAGAAAGATAAAGGAAAAAAAAAAAAAGGAAGGCCCCTGTAGCCCCCCCTCCCCCGCCAGCCCTCTGTTTATGTTTTAAGCCCCTCGCTTTGTTTGTTTGCCTCCCGAGGCAGGATCGCATGGCCAAGCGCACATCGATGTTTTCTGTGCTCGCCACCCCTTCCCCTCGCCGCGGGAAAGGCGGGAGGGAAGGGGGGAGGAACACACACACCCGGCAACCCCCCAAAACAAGCTGCCGGCGGTGCCGGGCAGAAGGCAGCCACCGGGTCCGTGCCGTGCCGGGAGGGGGCCGGGCGGCAACGGGGCTGGTGGGGCGCGGGGCGGCCGCGCCGCCATTAGCCGGTGGCCGGGGACGCCCGGATGGACGGGGCGGCTCGGGCCAATGAGCGGGAGCCGGGAGAGAGGCCGGGCGGCGGGTGAAGGCGGTGTTGGGAGCGGAGCCGCCAGTGCGGGCGGGGAGAGGGAGAGAGGCTGGGGACGGGAGGGAGGGAGGAGGGAGGGAAAGAGGAAAAAGAGGGGGAGTGAAGGGAGGGGGAGAAAAATAAAAAGCCGCCTCTTCAGCAGCGCCCACCGAAATAAACAGAGGAGCGAGAGGCAGCGAGGGCGCAGGCGGAGCGGGGCTGCAGCTCCGCCGCCCCGGCCGCGCCGCTCCGGCCCTTGCGCTCCGCGGCCCCTTCCCGCCCCCCGCCTCCCCTCCCCAACCCCACCGCCGGCCTTATTGTTTTTAATCTGCCTCCGGCACCCCCTTTCTTGTCTTTCCCTCCCCAATCCCGGTCCCCTCCCCACGCCCCTCCGCGGCGGCGGGTAGGGGCGGCGTGGCTCGGGGCAACCCCCGCCCCGGGTCCCTTCGCTCCGTGGGAACCCGCGGCTGCAAGTTTTTTTTCTCCGTGAGAGACACCGCTAATGCCCGTCTCAGGATAAAACGAGAGCAAAGGCCCGGGGGCCCGAGGCGGCGGGGAGGGTGGCGGGGCGGCGGCGGTGGTGACATCCCGGTGGTGGTGACGGCGGCGGAGAAGTGGGGTGGGGGGGAGCGGCGTGTGTACGAGTCTGTGTGTGTGTGTGTGTGTGTGTGTGTGCGTGCGTGCGTGTGTGCCGCAGGGAACGGCGAGGCGAGCCTTGCCCCCCCCCCCCAGCTCCGTCCCTCCCCTGTTCCCCCTCCCCTCCCCTGCCCGCCCCCGGCTCAGCTCCTTTAATACACTTTGGTTCTCCGCTCGCTTTTGGACTCTGCTCTGCCTGGCTCCGGATACGGCTCCGGCGGCGGCGGCGGCAGTAGCGGGCCGGTGCGGGCGCGGGCGGCTGCGGCGGAGGCGGGGGGACGCGGCGGCTGCCGGGGGGAAGCAGCGCAGAGCGGCGGCGGCCCCGCGCCGGGCCGGGCGGGCCGCGGCAGCCCGGCATCGGCAGCGGTAGCGGGGCGGCGGCGGCGTCCCCGGAGCGGCGCGGACCATGCTGCTGGACGCCGGCCCGCAGTTCCCGGCCCTCGGCGTGGGCACCTTCGCCCGACACCACCACTCGGCCGCGGCGGAGATGCAGGACCGGGAGCTGAGCCTGGCGGCGCAGAACAGCTTCGTGGATTCGGCGGCGGCGCACATGGGCGCCTTCAAGCTCAACGCCGGCGCCCACGACCTCTCCCCGGGGCAGAGCTCGGCTTTCACCTCGCAGGCGCCCGGCTACCCCGCCGCCGCCCTGGGCCCCCACGCTGCACACGTCGGCTCCTACTCCGGAGCGCCCTTCAACTCCACCCGGGACTTCTTGTTTCGCAGCCGCGGCTTCGGGGATTCGTCGCCGGCCGGCGGGCAGCACGGCATCTTCGGCCCTGCGGCCGGCAGCCTGCACCACCCGCACACGGACGCTCAGAGCCACCTTCTCTTCCCGGGCATCCACGATCAGCATGGCCCCCACGCTTCCCAAAACGTCCTCAACGGGCAGATGCGCCTGGGTTTGCCGGGGGAAGTGTTCGCCCGGTCGGATCAGTACCGCCAGGTCTCCAGCCCCAGGACTGACCCATACTCGGCGGCTCAGCTGCACAACCAGTACGGCCCCATGAATATGAATATGGGCATGAACATGGCAGCCCACCACCATCACCATCCAGGTGCCTTTTTCCGCTACATGCGGCAGCAGTGCATCAAGCAAGAGCTCATCTGCAAGTGGATCGACCCCGAGCAGCTGAACAACCCCAAAAAAAGTTGCAATAAAACTTTCAGCACCATGCACGAGTTGGTCACCCACGTCTCGGTGGAGCACGTTGGGGGACCCGAGCAGAGCAACCACGTCTGCTACTGGGAGGAGTGTCCCCGGGAAGGCAAACCCTTCAAAGCCAAATACAAACTGGTCAATCATATCCGAGTGCACACGGGAGAGAAACCCTTCCCCTGCCCCTTCCCCGGCTGCGGAAAAGTTTTCGCCAGATCAGAAAACCTCAAAATTCACAAAAGGACGCACACAGGTAATGCGGGTTTCGTTCGGCAGATTATCCCCCTTTTGCCCGTGCCTATACATATGTATAAAACCACATAGAAACTCAGGCAGGGAGATGTAAAATAATGAGAGTGATAAAATAACGATCCTGTTTAACATTCCCCCCACCCCCCCCCACCCCGCTCGATCCCACAGCTGCGTTTGTTTTGGTTTCTTCCCGACTAAATCCTCATTCCCTCCCAGCTCCCCTTCACAGCTTTTGAGAGGATATTTTACCAGTTTCTTTTAATTTGTGGGGTGAGCTATGTAGATTCCTGCCGATGCTCGCCGGGGTCTTCCTGCAGGAAAGCAAAATTCAGCACGAAGTGAATTCTGCCGTTCTCCTAAAAGACGGGAAGATGTGTATGTATATACACGCGCACGCTTTTATATATGTACATATACAGAAGAAAAGCCTTAGATATTTACAATGCACAACGTTTTTGCATCTAATTTCAGTCCTTGTGAGGGTGGCTTTCACGTATGGTTATGGAGAAATAAACTATATAAATACAGGCAAAACCCGTCATTAGTCCCCTTTCTGGGAATGCTTTCCATTAAATTTAAATGGTGTGAGCAAGGCAATAAAATTTTCTCATTTGAAAAAAAAAGGGGGAAAAAAGTGTTTTTAAAGTCTCACTCGACGTGATTTAAGGTGCTTTCGTAAGAGTTTATTAAATTAGGTAATAGGGAGCGGAGGGGTTTCAGGCTCGGAAACTTCCACCCGAATCAGGTGGAAGAGGGAGCTCAGGCTTTCCTGGCGGAAAACCGCCTAAGCCGAAGGGTAACAAAACTAAACGTGTCCTCCCGCCTCATCTATTATTCATTTACTACTCGAACCGTGCCAGACTATTTCAGACAAGACAGCCAAATATTTTAGCCACTTCCACTCTAAATATTTACCCGGAGAAAGGCGAAAAAAGGATCCCGAGGCCTATTGTATTTCTCAAGTGCTAAGCCCGATTCGAGGTGCGAGACGAGCTTTAACAAGGTTTAAAATTTGAGAAATGTATTTGCATGAGATGCCCGCACTGCCGGCATTGTGTCTGAGCGGATGTCTTTAAGAAACAATTTAGGTGCTAATGGAATTTAATGTTAAATGCTTCCCCCTCCAAAGCCGAGGGAGGGGGCTGGGTGGGTGGATGGATGTGGAGTTCTCACCTCCAAATTACTCCCCGGCATTTGGAGCCCTGGCAGCAGCCGGGCGAGAGGAATCCCGATGAAAATTAAATGAAGTATTTTACAGACGTTTAGTTTTCCCAGCGGATGTGCGTTTATCTCCAACATCCATACACGAAACGATCTGCCCGGTCTTAAATCTGACGGCAACGGTTGCCAGTTTAACAGCAGAGCGGTTTGGTGCAGAGGCGAAACGGCTTCATGCTTTGATTTATTTATATATATATAATTATTGTTTTTTATCGCTTTTCGATCTTCAGTCTCTTTCGGGGCCGGCTGTGTGTCTGCCCCGGTGGAAATAAACCCAGCAAGATGCCGTGGGTGCCCGGGGTGTGTGTGCGTTGGTAGGAAAACCAAGAGGGAGCAAGGTCAAACCCGGCCTCTCGCTTGGGGAAGTGACTGGGCCGAGCGGCTGGGAGTGGGGGCGAGAGGGGAGAGGGGAAAGGAGGGGGGTAAGCCCCGAGGAGTCGAGCGCGGTGCTGCGCGGTCTTTGCGCGGGTTCGGCCGCCCTCAGCCCCGCCACTTTCTTGCAGGGGAGAAGCCCTTCCAGTGCGAGTTCGAAGGCTGCGACCGGCGCTTCGCCAACAGCAGCGACCGCAAGAAGCACATGCACGTCCACACCTCGGACAAGCCCTACCTGTGCAAGATGTGCGACAAGTCCTACACTCACCCCAGCTCCCTGCGGAAGCACATGAAGGTACCCAGCCCCGCAGCCAGCGGCGGGAGGAGGGAGGGCGGCCGCCCCGTGCCGGGCGCCCCGTCGGGGCGGCGGGCGGCGGGCGCGGGGCCCGGGGGCGTTGGCGGGCCGGGCCGGCGGCGGGGGGAGCGCCCGGGGGGCGGTGGCGGCGGCCTCCCCATCGCCCCTCCACCGGGCCGTGTTGCCTTTGCCCCCCAGGTGCACGAGTCGTCCCCGCAAGGCTCCGAGTCCTCCCCGGCCGCCAGCTCCGGCTACGAGTCCTCCACCCCCCCGGGGCTGGTGTCCCCTAGCGCCGAGTCGCAGAGCACTAGCAACCTCTCCCCGGCGGCGGCGGCGGCGGCGGCGGCAGCAGCGGCGGCGGCGGCGGCAGTGTCTGCCGTGCACCGGGGCGGCAGCGGCAGCGGTGGCAGCGGCGGCGGCGGTGGCGGCGGCCACAGCGGCCTATCCTCCAACTTCAACGAGTGGTACGTGTAAGGCCCCGCCGGACTGCTCTGCACGGCCCCGCCGCGCCCCCGCCTCCCGGCCCCAGCGGCGGCGGCAGAGGGTAGGACGGAGAGAGCCCGCTGGAGACGTGCTGGGAAACGCCGCCGCACCCACTGGCAGCGAAATGAGGGCCGAGCAGGATGGGGACGGGGGTCCTTATCTCTCCACACCCCTCCCGCCTTCGCGCCTTTTTTCTGGTTTTTGTTGTTGGATTTTTTTCCCTGAATTTCTTTTTGAGAACATTTTGAACCAGCAAAAAAAAATTTACTCTAAACCTATGTCCTAAGAAACGCAAGAAAATGAGTAAATACATAGAAGAACGGAAAGGGAAGAGAAAGACAGAGGGGGGAAAACCCAACCCCAAAAGCTACCAACCACAGCACCCAGCAAAAAGCTTCTCCAGCCGGCGGAAAGCAACTCTCCCTCCGGAGCCTCCAGACAAAAGATCAGAGACTTAACTGCCCCGGCCCCTGCGCCTCCCCACCCGGAGCAGCCAACGCCCTCCCACCCCACCAACTGTGTACATAGCGGCCCTCTCCTTCCTCCGGCTAGGGGGGAACGAAGTTTTCCTGGATTCCTGGTGTATAGAAGTTCGTCCCGTTTGTAAACCGCGGATTGGTCCCTTTCTTCTTCTTTTTTTTTCTTCCTTTTTTTTCCCCTCTCTTCCTCCCTCCCCAAAAAAGTGATGGACTTGTTTTTTTTCCTACCACTCCCCTTCCCCATCTCCCTCTCTCCTCCTTTTTTAGTTCCCCTCTTGGAAAAAAAAAAAAAAAAAGGAAAAAAAAGTAACGTGGAAGAAAAAATGGTTTCTTTTTGTAATCGTGATATCTTAAATATTGTGTTCCTTTTTAAGAGGCAACTTGATTGTACGCTGCATTTCGACTATAGACTGGGGAAGAAATACCGTGCCAAAGTCTCCATTCTGTTACTCACAGACACACACACGAACAACAACGCTTGTGAATGTATTTTTCTGTTAGCTGGGTTTACATGTGATGTTTTAGTGCTTTTGCAAGTTCAATTTGTTAGTTACTGTTCGGAAGATTGTGAGGAAAAAATAAACGTTGTGCCGTTAGCTTTTCTGTAATAACACCCTTCCTCCTGTAAATACCTGTTACCATATTTATCCATTTGTAATTAAATTATGGTATTAACTTGCTACAGAGGAAACAGTATTTATAAAGAATGTTTCTTAACTATAAATATGTACAATTGTGAGCATAAACTGTTTCAGATTTTTTATTTGAAGGTTTAAGTGGTTTCATCATTTCTTGTGATATGTTTTGAGAGTAATGCATACAGAAATATAATAAAACGTGTTGAAACTGCACGGACTGATTCCTTTTTTGTGTCAAAGGCTCTCTGAAACCTGCTGTAAAGTACGTGAGGACCTGATCGGCGACTGTGAAACAAATAGTTTATAAAAATCTGCGGGTTAATGGAATGCAAAGATTTAGTTAATTTTTGAGAGAAATATATATTATGTATATATATAAATTTGGGAAGCCTCTGGGCTAAAAGAAAAGGGTGCGCGTTTCCATATTCCCCTAATGAATAGCAAGGCAGGAATCTTCTTTAGGAAGAGCTTTACCGGGCAACAGCACAGCTTCCTTCACCTTCCTCTTGACTCTGTCTTTCCCTTAGTTCCCGGTGCCCCGCGGGGTGACTAAAGCGGGGTGCTACGGGACGGAGGTGGAGGGGCAACGGCCAGGCTTTGAGCTCTGCTCAGGGCTGCTTTGAGCCGTAAACCGCGTCCTTCTCGCATTTTTGATAGCCTCCCTCCAGCCTTTGAGAGGAGAAAGTAGCGATGCCAGAGAGCTCACATTTCCCTTCGACCTGCTTTTTTGTTCCTCCCCCCTCCCTCTATTTTTCTTTTTTTGCTAATAGCCCGGGGAGCGCTTTGGGCTGCCAGACGTCCTCAGCGAGGGACCGAGAGCCTCCGGGAGATGCCTTTTCCTCGCGGTTCTGGCCCAGCACTGCTCTCCGCCGGCGCTGTCGGGGCCCGGACGGTAGAACGCCCCTTTTGGGTCCGGCAGGCAGCGGCTCTCCGAGCACCCCCTTTCGCACAGGGACGCCCGAAGGGAGGATGGCAGCGGCAGGGAAAACGTGGAAAAAGTTCGGCCTCGCCAAGCAACCGAATTTATGCCCTGCGAGGATGCAGAGCCGTGTGCCAGACTCCGAGCGCCCTGCGGTGGCTGCGCTGTCTTCAGCGGCAGCTTATGCGGGCGGGGAGAGCCCTTGGCTCTTCTCACCGGGCAGACCCCACTGGGCAGGTCATCGGTCTGAGGTTTTGGGACTTTGGGCTTTGTCCCCCATGTTCAAATATCAATAGAGATGTTCCAAGCCGCTGGAGGGAAGATAGGTGGAGGGACGAGTGTATACGGGGCCCTGCTCACTTCCGGGGTGCGGTGGGGGTTACCTACACCCAGGGAGAGAGGAAGAGGGAAGGGAATGATCCCCCTGTCCCGCCGCTGCCAACGGAGTTTGGATGCGGAGTGGAGATGGAGCTTCCTTCGTGGCCGCGCCCCTCCCAGCGCTGCCATCCCCGCACACCCGGCAGGCTCCCCGGGCAATCAAACGGCTATTAAAACCTAATTTATGTTCCGTAATAATATTACGCAAAAAAAAAATTTATTAAAATCATTGGCATATGCCGCCTGCCCCTTGGAGAAATCCGTAGGAAATGCAGCTGCAAGGATCCCTCTTTGTCCTGACGGCCTTCCCGCTGCCGAAAAACCAAACGGTGGTCCCGCTTCGGAGCCCTGCTCGTGCTGCCAACCCCCGCCTGCCTAAAATTCCCTCCCGGGACTGGGAACACACAGGCAGCCCTGCCCCAGAGCGACGAACCCCTCTTGGCGGTCCCAGTGCTCCGGGCCGAGAGAAGAGCACCGGAGCTCTCCTTTCTCCCTCCCCTAAGAGACGTTCTGTTTTCGGGGTGCCCCAGCTGCTGATTTCCCTTCGACCCCCGGTAGCGGGATGCGCAGAGCAGGCGGCGGCCTCCCTGGCCCGAAGCACAGGTCGTGTGGCAGCGGGGGCAGCGCCGCTCCCTCCGGCCAGCGATGCCGCTCTCCCGGCCGGTCTGGGGAAGGGGACGCGGTGTTCGTGGCCGTGAGTTGCCCCCCCCCCCTCCCCCCCCCCAACTTCCTCGTCCTACCCAGGCTGGCCCTGAACTTGACCCTGGTCTTGGCGCATCCAGCCCGCAGCCCCTCTCTGCGCGCCTCCCTCGGGCCCTGACCCCGGCGCGGCCCTGCCACGCTTAAGGGGGAGCGGTAATTCATCGGGTTCAGGGGTTGGGTTTTTTTTGGGGGGAGGACAGCCGAGACCCGCCTCTCAGCCTTGTGCGCGGGTGGCCTGGGCTGAGGGACGCTGGCCCTGGAATCCTTCTCTGCGCCCCTCAGCTCTCTCTCTCCTCCCCCTCGTCCCCCTTCACCCCAATTCTCCCCACGCCAATATTTCTCCCTTTGTCTCCAACGCTGAGCCTGAGCTTTCCACACCTCCCTGCCCCAGCCCTGGAGGCAACCTGGGGACCAACCTGGAGGAAGGCCGTGGGGTCCCCCAGCTTTCCCCACCCCCTCTCTATGTCCAGCCGCAGCGGGTGGGTGCCCCGGCCGCCGGCTTGCACTCTCCGACGGCGCTGCCCCGACGGCTCCCTGCTTTCCCCAGTGGGTAGGGGGGGCACGGCACTGCTCTGCCCCCGGCACCTCGTGCCCGGCTGCGGCAGCCCCACTTGTCCGATTCTCCTCCGGCGGTGTGACTCTTGGTTTATACCATGAAAACCAGCGTGGAGTGTGGGGTTCAATTGTTATGATTAGTATTATTATTAATCATAAAATTGTCTCCTGACTCTGCTTGCAGACCCCCTAAAAAGGCGGAGTGGTTTTCCTGGGAATTGCTCTCTCCTCAGGCTCTCTTCCCAGGCCAAAAAAAAAGAAGAAAAAAAAAAAAAAAGTCAGAAATTGAGGCACCGTCCATAGAGCAAGCTGTGCTCTGCCCAACGCATTCGCAATAGGGGGGCAGCTCATGCCCTGCCTCTACCTGCCCCCACTGCCCGTATCGAGCAAAACCCGCTTTTTCACCTGGCCTGGCTGTTCTGCCGGCTTTGTGCTGCCGCCGACGGCGGCTAAATAAACCCCAAACCCATCCCAACCTCCCACCAACCAGAGGTGACAACAGCCCAAACCGAACTAAATAAAATACAAAATACATTAAGGGCACGTCTCTCCCGAAGCTTGGAGCGGAGCGGCTGCCGAGCCCGGCGCTGCCGCTGCCGGTACCGGTGCCGGCTGGGCTCCGCGGCGGGCGAGGGGCTGCCTGTGCTCAGGGGGGGGCTGCAGACGCTCCGCTCGGTTCCGGCCAGACCTCCCCAAACCCCGAACGGCCTTTTAAGTTTTCCCCTTTGTTTTCAGAAACTCGCACACGTTTCCTGCCCACTATGAAGACATAACAGGCTCCCCAAACCTCTCCCCGGCCACACGTGCGTGAGAGGCGTACTCCAGGCACAGAGAGGTATGTGTGGTTGCCATCTCCGTTCACGGTTAGGGCTTGTTTTGTTGGTGGTTTTTAACCTCGTGGGTCGCTTTTCCCTCCTCCCCTCTCATTTTTTATTTCTTCCTTTTTTTTTTTTATTTTCCTTTTTTTCCTTCCTTTAAAAGAAAAAAAATATTTTTTTTTTTTCCCAGAGTCAGATGTTCGGGAAAGGAGCCACGTTTTAGCAGCAGAGCAAGCAAAAAAACTATTGTCACACCCTGCAGGGCACGGTGCCCCCCATCCTCCCAAAGTGCTTTGGGATGTCTCCCCCCATACCTTTTTTTCTTTTTCTTTCTTTTTTTTTTTTGGGGGGGGGGGATGGGGAGGAGGGCAATCGGGCTAGAGGGTTTCTCTGCCTTTAATACTTGGGGGGAACGAAGGGAGAGAGAGGAGAGAAAAGACGAAGAGAAGAGAAGAGAAGAGAAGAGAAGAGAAGAGAAGAGAAGAGAAGAGAAGAGAAGAGAAGAGAAGAGAAGAGAAGAGAAGAGAAGAGAAGAGAAGAGAAGAGAAGAGAAGAGAAGATGAAGATGACCGGGGCAGGGAGGAACTTTGCCAGAAGTTTCATGTATTTAACAGTACTTCAAAGCGGCTGCCCCACTGCTGTGCCCTGTCCCGAGGGGAGAAAGCGCGGCACCAAAAGGACCGCCGACCCCACTTCCTCGCGGGGCAGGAAACACTAGCGGGTGTCCCAGCGCCTCTCGCCCATGGCACCAGGCGCTTTCCAACGAGGACCTGGCAAGGCCGAGCGGCGGGACCCGACGCGGATCAAGCGCTTCTCCTCCGGTCTCCACTGCTGGGACCCAGCTGTTGCGTCCCGGAGGGGAGGGGACGCTCTTTTGGTGTTAAAAAGAAAACCGGCAACAGAAGCGAGAAGGGGAGTAGGGGAAAAGTAACTCAAGGTCCAGTAAATGGCTGAGAGGGGTGACCCGGGGTGCCTTGCAGGCTGGCTTGGGCAGCCCCGACACCGCCCCGAGGGGCTCCGCGAGTGTCGTGGGGCCGCCGCGAGTGGCCACGACAGGGGCGTCCCTGAGCCTGGCCCGACCCACCGACCGTCCTGGCGCTTGGCAGCGGAACCTCCGCAGGAGACACGCGTATGTGTGGGTCTGGTGTGTCGCGGTATAAAGTAGTTTGTGATAGGAAAGAAAGAAAAGGGGAAAAAAAAAAAGACAGAGCAATTTTCTTTCCAACTTCTTTTTCTTTTTTTCTTTTTTTTTTTTTTTCTCCCTTCCCTTCCTCCCACAGCACTAATTCCTCTGTGTGGGCAAACAGCTCTTCTCCTTTGATTCTTAGTCACAGCCCCTAGATTAAATACGGGTTTTAATGAGAGCCGTGGCTGCGGCTGCATTAGGTGATGATCGTTCTGAAGACGAGATGACCTGTTTTGATGAAGACGATGTGACCTGTAGGGAGAGAGGGAAAGGTCAGCCGCATGCAGTGGCCAGATTTCTGCTCCTTCCCGGCGCATGCTGCTACAATATTGATCCACGGAGAAAGATAAACATAAAAGCTAGATCCTCTGTCCTGAATACTAATGAACGCTGCTTCCAGCTTTTAATTGTTGTTGAATTCTTGTTTCCACCGTAAACATTTGCTGACCTCTGTAAGGCAATTTCGCCCCCGGTTTGGTTTAATTTTCTTTTGTTTTCTTTAATTTTATTTTGCCTTATTTTACCCAATTTTACTTATTTGCTTTCCAATCCCTGAACTCTTCTCCTGTTGGAAATCTCGCCGGCAAGTTACTTTCCGCAGCAGTCAAGGCGCAGCCAACCCCCCGGCTGCCGCCGCCCGCATGTCGTTTCCATG